AAGATAAAATAACTGAAGGCCATTGTTTTGGTTTTCTTGGGGGTTGAATTCAAAAGCAAGATCAGCTTACCCCGTAAGATCATCCTACGTCCGTTAGCCGAAGTTTCAGTTGGTGTTCCATGGCACAGGCCTCTTTTAATTAAACCAGACTTGAAGGAAACTACTCACAAGGTCGAGGAGTTCTCGGCAACCTTGTGAGTAGTTTCCCTTATGAAAATATACTGTGCTATCTCGAGTATCCTGCCAACCGAAACATGAGACGGCCTGTGTGCAGCACATTCAGTTGTAGAATATCATAAACGAGAGATTCAGGTGAGTCTTTCGTGAAAACTAAATTGATTTGCATATGGGTGCATTTCTCGTAAACTAGACTTGGTTTATAATTCGGCTCATCATACATACGTGTCTCATTTACGGTACGGAATGAAGTCAAAATTTTTTGGAAATTTTCTGAAGCAGTGGATCGTATTTATCGAGGTCCTTATGATCACATTCCTTGCTGCAATTTAGTAAAACATGTCACCGTGGTAACGTAGCTAATTCAGTGGCTATTATTCGAAACAGCACTTATGTTGACCAGCGGACTGCTGATAAGCTCATATAAGAGGAATCGTTTTTCCAAATTATCCTCATCTCCGTTTAAACTTGTCAGAATAGTTGAAGCAGGTCGACAAACGCGGTCACGTCTCTCAGTAAGCTGAAAATTTAATCCCCCTCTAAGAGTGATATAACCACCAATTGCTTACCAAAACTCTCTGAAATCAATACTACTCAATCGGTCCCAAACATTTTCCAATTGAATGATATGACCAACGTATGCAGTTGAAATGTCCAGCACCTTAACAACCAGAAAATTCTTACGCGGATGACTCAATTTCTATGTATCATCCTAATGGACGAACCAGTTGGTTCACTATGGAGTTAGCTACATAGATTCACGCTGCTGATCAGGTGACCGTGGTCGAACGATTAAGTGGTCGCCATCGTTGAGTATTTGATCACCGTTTGGTAATCCTCCGTATTTCATGGTGGTTCAGCCTGTTACCCTAAAACTGCAACGATCGGACTAAGGTTTACATGGGACAAACCGCCATGCAGTCGCACACCAGAATTGGTGAGTATATAAGGTGGATAAACAAATCAACAAGGAATGCAGAAGAGTACCAAACGGTGATCAAAGACTCAACGATGCCGGTACATGCGCTAAACACAATACGTAAGATAGATCTAGAGAATGTGGGAGTTTTAATAAGGGGGCTGCGATTCGCACCGCAGCGGCTAATAGCCAAGGCGGTGGAAATTACCAAGCATCATAGTGCGAATAAAGTCGAGGGTGTGGAACTGGTTAGCGTGTGGAGAGCGGTCTTAGATAAACCGAGTTGACACGTGACTACGGGGTTGTCAGTGCGCGTGAAATCCCGACCGTGAAACCCGACCAAAGGTCACAGAACTCCTCTTCTGTACACAACTGTCGTAGCACTAGCTCATTCACACAAACGGACGAAAAGTTCAAACAGCGTTCAAGAGGGATGATCACGTGAACCAAGCCGGAGGAACTATACCCTAAGCTGGACCCAAATCCATTCAAGTTTCGCCATCAAGTTAGCACTTGGAAACCCACCCTAACACACAAAATCCCTTAACCGACACCTAACACAGATTTAGCTTGATTTAGCCGAGTGGTTCTCCTTCCGCCTTAAACCTCAACCAAACTTGTAACCTAGTCACTTGGTCTGAAGAAGCTTGTGTCGAAAGCGAAACGTTGCCCAGCAATAAATCTACCGATCGTTACCAAACTTTTCCTCAAACATCTTCAAACCTTCGATCAATAAAAATTTGGCTTGATGTCTATTTGGAATTCCTATGAAAATCGTCAGACAGCACACATGGCCCCCTATCTGTAATTCGAAGTGAGTTTGTGCTGACAAGTCTCCTAGTAAAAATTTTCATGAAGTACCATTAGGCATTTTGCAAACTCTATGTGTAGGACAGGTTCATTAGAAGTAGACATATTATAGACCAGTATTTGCAGAATGAAACCAGAGAGCCCAAGGTTCTTTCCGAAACGATTTTCTAGTCTCAGAAATAAGGTATCGTCAAAAACGGTGGTAGTAAACATGGAAACGTAAATTTATAATCCGAATTTATCGTGATGCTTCTCTGCTCTTTGTGATTTTCGGTCCATGTGACAACCACTCGGTGGTTTTGTACGAATCAATCAGTGCGTTTCCAACTTCGTGTTCTTCAATACTTTGATGTTCCTTGAAAGCAAATAACTTGTTGGATCAAAAGATAATGGTATTTGTAAGCGCGTCTTCCGAGTAGGACAGTTTTCTTCTCTCTAGAGTATTGCCATCATGCGTAAATCAATCGCTAGTCACCAGTGCAGGTTTGCCTGTGTGTTTTACAGAAAAAAATCATACCGGAACAGTTGATGCAAATTATTCCTGCCTCAACTAACACTTCCGGTTGCTCTTAACCATTTTAGCTTTTTCTTTATGTTGATCAATCCTCTGTTTAAAATCCCTTCTAAGTAACTTTTATTAGTTAACCGCAGCAGCCTATTCCCGAAAGGATTTTTACCATTTGACCATGATTTCCCAATGGAAGATGAAAGCATACTATAGAGACCTAGTTTTCACAGGACGCACACACCTACTGGCCGTTTTTAATGAGAGAGCAATCGGGTGTGTGGTCTGAAACTACTAGTGACATCGTTTATCAGAAGCTGATTAGAGAAGAAGGACCAATTTGTTTGTCAAAACATACGCTTCCAGAAACCGGAAAACCCGTCTTGAATAGCATTGCACACTGTTTCGCTTGGTTTACTCCGGAAGAGATAGTAAAAACAGATCTTGCTAGCGGGCAAATTCAAGCTGTAGTACAAATGAACTGAAGTGCACAAGCAGTCTGTGCGTCGTTCCAGTGGACGGGTTCTATACTGCAGTAAAAGGTGTGGGATACTGGCATGTCTGGTGCTTGAAATTAGCTGGAATGTTAGACATTTGTAACGTTTTCAACGGGTAAACGACCGTAATTAGACTGACATTCTCGCAGCTTGGGGTTCACTGATTCGTTATTCAGCCAAATACGTTGGAAGGGATAAAGTATAGTCGTAATACGCTTCACCTAATGTTGCTGAAAACTCTTCGGCAACCTTCAGCCTCTATAAATGTACCACGATATCTCGAAAATCGTACCACCTGAAACATTAGGCAGCCTGACACAGCAAGTTAACACGCTTAACATATCATACACAAGAGATTCAGCTGGTTTTCTGTGCGCATTTCAAAAAAACAGAGTGGTTTGCAAATTTCTAGTAGAAACAGTGTCTTGTTTCTTTTGCAATCCATTAAACGGCATTTGAAAAATTATTTTTCGTTGAATGTGTCCTTCCCAAAAGGGCTATTTCCTCACGTCTGACAACGATGCTAGTAGACTCGCTTCAGAGATCCTTGGAAGCTTTACTGACTTCCATTTACTTCATTGCGGATTTAACACACCTGCCGTATGAAAGTTCTAATCGTCTTATCACACGACACTGCACAACCCTATATCTTAACAGATATACCCGATATGTCACCTTGTGCAGCTACTTGAGTGGACTATTGAAACAGACTTCTTCCGCCCCAGCAGCTACTACCAAGTAAACTATTGGGTTGACCTGATTATTTTTGTCCTAAACTTGCTTCAGAGGGCTAATCTTAGACAATGTAAAGCTTGAAACTCATTGAACATATTCAGAACTATGTTATCGTTTAATTTGGGGTGGGGGACATTAATGGTCATCATTCTTGGAAGCCCTTTCGTCCACAACTGCCGAATTGCGAATCTAAGAAATGACGTGATACACCGAAGGGTATTATTTTAAAAGTTCTTGGTTCTAATCTGGTGTTAAAAACATAATCGATTAGACTCTTTAAATACAGTATTCTTTCATAAATCACAGTATCTATCTGGATTGACGGGAACATGATCCTTAATTCGTCAAAATATGTTTTCCATTTTCATACTGTGTTGAAAAAAGGTTTAGAAAAGACCTTAAATATCTTAAATTGAGTCATCATAAAGCAATTTTTCTCTGAAAACAATAACGAAGTTTTTTATTCCTTCAAAAGACAAACAAAAATGCGAAAATCTCATATTTGATAGGCTACATTGTAAGTATCGTGCGCAGATGAATATACGTCGAATATGTATCAACAAATTCATACATTTCACTCGCTAGAAAGACTACGTTTTTTTCCTGGACTTTTGGACGCTTTCTTTGTGCTTTCACATGAGATCAAATAAACCAACAGGAAAATTCAAAATGTTTTCAACCAGATCGGCCAAAATAGATTCAGAATTCCCCTGGTATATGAACGAATTCATCCAAACTTTTACATGTCCACGATGGTAGATTACAATGTTACTAAAGCAAACAGTTTACATTGAGTAGGACCATTTTATGCATCACACTTGCGTTCACCCTTCTACGGTACAGAGAATATCACGTTAATGTGACTACGTCCATCGATATTCTGCAGTGAATGCTAAAACACCTAATGGAGGCGGCTCACTATCAAGGTCAAAATCTCCTCCGATATTACGTTTCTGCTCAAGAAACCTTAAGAAAACCCCCTCCAACACATACATCCTTCGCTGACATGTACAAAGTTTGACACAACACGCTTAATTTACACAGTTCCGTGGATAAAATCCACAACCTGATTAAAAATCCAGATGATTCCATTTCGATTTCAGGCATTCTGTTCAGCCCAAGTAGTTCGGTATATTTTGAAGAGAAGAAAATCGGCTTACAAAACTTTTCACTGAGTTATAAAACCAGTAACTAGGTTCTATCGGTAAACAGCCATCTTCAGTCATTGCTTCAAAGGCTTCAGTTACAAATTTAGAGTGCTTTTGTATATACGGTCTGTCTGCAATAACAAGCATACAGAAGCTGAAGGCAGATGGCCACATGCAAGATAATCACTCAGTTCTTTCTTTTATTGTAGACCTCACAAGGCAGAACTGAATTTGTTAACGTTATGGAGAAACAAGTAAGTTACATGTTATGATTGTCCGAAGTATGGGATTCATTTGAGCCGGTTGGTCAGAGCTCTGAGCTTCTGAATATATATATATATATATATAT